TAGCTGTTTTATTTTACTATTGTATGGAGGGCAACGCAATAGGACATCTGTTAGCTATACGGACAAAAATAAAACTGGATCTGTTCCTTATATCAGATATCATGGCAAATTCCAAATAGAGATCTAAATATAAAAACTGAAGTCACAGAAGTATTAGAAGAATCATAAACCTGATAAGAGGTTAATATCCAAAATATATAAGGAATTCATACAACTCGATAGCAAAAAAAAAAAAAGCCAATTAAAAAATGAGCAGAGGATATAAACAGACATTTTCCCAAAGAAGACATACAGATGACCAAGAGGTACTGAAAGATGTTCAACACCACTAATCACCAAGGAAATGCAAGTCAAAACCAAAATGAGATATCACTTCACAATTGTTAACATGGCTATTATCAAAAAGAAATACCAAGTATTGACAAGAATGTAGAGAAAAGGAACCTTTGTGCATTGTTGGTAGGAATGTAAACTGGTACAGCCATTATAGTAAACAGTATGGAGGTTCCTCAAAAAATTAAATATGACTACCATATGATCCAGCAATTCCACTTCTGGGTATTTATCCAAAGGAAATAAAAACAGTAACTCAAAAAAATACATGCAACCCCAAGTTCACTACAGCATTATTTACAGTCACCAACACGAGGAAACAATCTAAGTGTCCATCAATGGATGAGTGGATAAAGAAAACATCACACACACACACACACACACACACACACACACACACACACGAATATTATTCAGCCATTAAAAAAAGGAAACCCTGACATTTTTGACAATAAGGATGGACCTTGAGGACATTATGTTAAGTGAAATAAATCAGCCAAAGAAAGACGAATACCATATGATTTCACTTATGTGTGGAATCTTTTTTTAAAAAATTAACTCATAGATAAAAGAACAAATTGGTGGTTGTCAGAGATGGTGGATGGTGAGTAAGCAAAATAGGTGAAAGTAGTCAAATGGTACCAACTTCCAGTTTAAAATAAATAAGTCATGGAGACGTAATATACAGCAGGATGACTATAGTTAATAATACCGTGCTGTGTATCGGAAAGTTGCTAAGAAGTTGCCTGGGTGACTCAGTCAGTTAAGCGTCTGCCTTCAGCACAGATCATGATCCCAGGATCCTGGGATGGAGTACCAAATCAGACTCCCTGGGAGTCTGCTTCTTCCTTAGCCCCTCTCTCCCAACACTTGTTCTCTCTTGTGTTTGAGCAAAAATAAGTAAAATTGGGGCACCTGGGTGGCTCAGTTGGTTAAGCGGCTGCCTTCGGCTCAGGTCATGATCCCAGCATTCTGGGATCGAGTCCCACATCCTTGCTCTGCAGGGAGCCTGCTTCTCCCTCTGCCTTTGCCTGCCACTCTGCCTGCCTGTACTCTCTCTGACAAATAAATAAACAAAATCTTTAAAAAAAAAAAAAAAAAGTTGGTAAGAGAACTTAAAAGTTCTCATCACAAGAAAAAAAGTTTGTAATTATGTGCAGTGACAGACGTTAACTAGACTTACTATGGTGATCATTATACAATATACAAATATCAAATCACTATGTGGTAATCAGTTTCATTCCTCCTAAACTAATATGATGTTGTATGTCAATTACATCTCAATTTAAAAAAAGAAATAGGAAAAGAAAACCCAAGTGAATTTCTTTATAACCAGGCAGTGGGGTAAGACCTGAATAAAGAGAAATCAAATTCCAGAATTAATAAATGAAAAGATTATGAAAATGACATTTTAAAAAACTTTGGATGGCAAAAAAAAATCATAAAATAAAAACATGTTTGACAATCTACTGAAATATATTTGCAACTTAAAATACAAAAGGCTAATATCCATAATCCATAAACATGTTTTTAAAATGAAGACGAAAAGACCAACAACTCAATATTTAGAAACGGGTAACAGATAAAGAGTTCTCAAAAAGAAATGCAAATGGGCATGAATGGGAGATAAAGGTCTCTGAATTGATCACACAGTTTTTCCTTTGGAAAAATATAAGCTTTATAAAATTAAATAAATCAAGGGGAAAAGGTAATCTTTACTGAGTAAAAAAAGAACTAAAACAAGTGAGTCTCACTATCAATCAAGTTGAAGGCAGAACAACACAAGAAAAAAAGTTACTTTAAATGACTTAAAAGCAATATTTTGCCTGTACATCCTTAGTGGTATATATTCTAGGTCAAAAGAACTTAAAGTCAGTAGTAGTATCATTTTTTCAAAATAATTATAGTTATACGTAAGTAATAGAAGTAGTAATAAAGTTAATATCATTATGAACCTAGATTTTCAAAGAAGAGAAAAAAGATGGAAATAACAAAAAGAAATAAAACGTAACTTTGCAATCTTACATTTGAATTACAAATATCAGTAAGAACTTGGGATCGTTATCTTATTTAAAAAAAGAAGACTTACGAGGTGCCTGGGTGGCTCAGTCAGTTAAGTGACCAATTCTTTTTTTTTTTTTTTTTAAGATTTTATTTATTTATTTGACAGACAGAGATCACAAGTAGGCAGAGAAGCAGGCAGAGAGAGAGGAGGAAGCAGGCTCCCTGCTGAGCAGAGAGCCCAATGCTGGGCTCCATCCCAGGACCCTGGGATCATGACCTGAGCGGAAGGCAGAGGCTTTAACCCACTGAGCCAACCAGGTGCCCCTAAGTGACCAATTCTTGATTTCCGCTCAGATCATTATCTCAGGGTCCTAAGATCAAGCCCCACATCAAGCTCCGCACTCAGTGCAAAGTCTGCCTGTCCCTCTCTTTCCCCTTCCATCCTCCCCCTGCTTGTCTGCTCTCTTTCTCTAAAATAAATAAATCTTCTTTAAAAGACTTCTGGGGTGCCTGGGTGGCTCAGTGGGTTAAAGCCTCTGCCTTCGGCTCAGGTCATGATCTCGGAGTCCTGGGATTGAGCCCACATTAGGCTCTCTGCTCAGCAGAGAGTTTCCCCTGCTCAGTTTCCCCACCCCCCACCCACCTGCCTCTCTCCCTACTTGTGATCTCTGTCAAGTAAATAAATAAAATCTTTAAAAAAAAAAACAAAACAGACTTCCTTACTGCCACTGGAATGGCCTATAAGCCTATAAATTATTGTGATAACACAATAGCTATATATACCCCTTAGCACCAAGATTATGATCTCTAAATACCATTTCCCAATAAAAGGAACTACTCAAAGAAATGGCTGATACCAGGTAGAGAGTGTAATATGTACAAAATAAGCCTAGGTTAACTTATTGTGCCAGAAAGTAAGGATATTATCAAAGACTGCTTGGATCATTTCGAAGTTCAACAGCAATTTTAAAGGGATTCTTACTAACCTAAAAGAGAACAATATATCTCTCTTCAAATTGGTGTCTTCACTTTCTTTGGGTAAATACCCAGAAGCAGAATTTGTGGATTGTGTGGTAGTAGTTGTATTTCTAGTTTTCTAAGAAACTTCCATAGCAGCTGCACCAATTTACATTTCCACTAACACTGTATGAGTGTTCCCCTTTCTCCACATTCTTGCCAGCACTAGGGAATAGATATACACACCCCTATGTTCACTGCAGCATTATTTATAATAGCCGAGATATGGAAGCAACCCAAGTGTCCATCAATGGATGAATAAAGATGTGATGTATACATATGTGTGTCATATATACACACCCTAGAACATTACTCAGCCATAAAAAAGAATAAAATCATGCCATTTGTGACAACATGGATGGACCCAGAGGGTATTATGCTTAGTGAAATTAAGTGATGGACAAATCCTGTATGATCTCACTCTTACATGTGGAATCTAAAAAACAAAACAACCAAGCAGACAAAACAAAACAGAAAGAAACTCATACATACAGGAAACAAACTGGTGGTTACCAGATTGGAGCGGAATTGGGGATGGGTGGAACAGGTGAAGGGGATCAAGAGGTACAAACTTCCAATTATAAAATAAGCCATGGGGATGTAATATACAGCAAAGGGACTATAGTATGTAATATTGTAATGACTTTGTATGGTGACTAGACTTATCGAGATCATTTTGTAACACACAAAAACACTGAATTTCTACGATGTGCACATAAAACTAATAGGATATGGTATGTCAACTATACTTCAATTAAAATTAAAAATAAAATAAAATAAAATGGGACAATTTACACCAAAAAGAATGGCTGAATGGAGTGAACACATCAAATATATAAAAATTATGAGATCAAATAAATAACCACAACTTATTGGTCACCACTGGAACCTGCTAGGGCATCAAGTCCCTTCTTTGAAAACTTATGAACTGGGAAATATCAAGCATTCATCCTGCCAAACTATATTTCAGGGTAACCAAATAGATGATATCAGAAAGCTTTTCTTTATTAAAAAATCATTCCTAGCTAATAAATCAGAAGGGAGGTTTTTTGTTTTTGTTTTGTTTTTACAAAATCACTCTTTTGAATCATCTAAGGGAATACTAGATTTAGGCAAGAATCATCAGGGGTGGGGCGCCTGGGTGGCTCAGTTGGTTCAGCATCTGCCTTTGGCTCACGTCATGATCCTGGGATGGAGCCCCGCATTGGGCTCTCTGCTCACCAGAGAGTCCACTTCTCCCCACCTCTCTCTCTGACCCTCCCTCCTCCCCACATCCCTAAACAACAATAATCAGGGGTTACAAAAATCACTTGGGTGTAAGGCTGACGGAGAACAATAAAGGGATCAAACTAAGGCTACCTGAACCCACTAATCAATTCTGACATAAAAAGAGGGGCAATAAGTCATTGTGTACCTCCATTCAAACGTTTTAACTGCTTAAAAATTAATGGATTCTTTAAGACATTTTCTAACTTGTTATGAATTTTTATACAATTTTTACAGAAAGTATAATGTTAAACTTTTTTATGTATTTGTATGTTTAAAAAGGAAAATTCACACATTCATAAAGAATTTTAATTCTATTTCAGTATGTAACATTTCTCAAAAACAGTTTTAATTGACTTTAATCTCCCAATAATACTTACTGTGAATTCTCCTCTTCTACTAATTGCGTAAGCTTTCTCCAGGGATTATACTCAGAATCAATGCTATAAAGCCGCATGTGCAAGGCTAATACATGGAACAGCTGATCTAAATAAATTGAAGAAAAGTTTTAATTAGAACATTCACACAATTCTTCCAGGACAAAATTCATATAAAATTTCTAGCTAATTCATGTGGAAATATTTCCCATCTTCATAATTATAATTCACCAAGTTTAAGTATCAACTACTTCACACTCTCTTTTAAGGTAAACTCTGAAATATTTATGCAAAAAATTACCACTAGAATCTGGACTATCCTTATGCTCAGTCTCAATACTGGAATGGTTCGTTCTCCTTATCTCCTGTCAGACCTACTTTTCCTTGGCTTTATGCATCAGACTTGACAAATGGTACTTCTCACACTTATGGCTATCCCTAACGAAGATTTACTATTATCAATACTCTAATCTGAGTAATACTGACAACGACATCCACATAAATTGCTGTTAGATGAAATTCTTTACATAGTATTTTCCCCTAAGTCCTCTTTAGACTGAGTTGTGACTTCATTATCTTTTGATTCTAATGAAGAAAAAACTGAAATAACGTTATTACTTAGCATAGCTACTCCAGCTATTTTCATTTCTTCTGTCTAAACCATACTAATAATCTACAAGTCTTAGCTTTCAAAAAAATCTGCTCATGACATTTGGGGAAAAAAGGTTTTTCTTTAAAATTTTAAAATCATTCAGAAGAAAATCCTAAATTTTGCTTTCATTTTCATTTTAATCCTTTTTGGGATTAAAAATGACAAGGAATGGATTAGATTATTCTGCCACAAATTCTCAAAAACATACGTGACACAAAAGTAATTTTTTGGAAAATCAGATAATACTTTCTGACATAGGACTAAAATTAACTCTTAAAACCAGACAGGGGGGTGCGCCTGGGTGGCCCCAGTGGGTTAAGCCTCTGCCTTCGGCTCAGGTCATGATCTCCTGGGATCCAGCCCTGCATTGGGCTCTCTGCTTAGCAGGGAGCCTGCTCCTCGCCCCTCCCCCCACCTGCCTCTGCCTACCTGTGATCTCTGTCTGTCAAATAAATAAATTCTTAAAAAAACAAAAACAAAAACAAAACAGACAGAGGGCAAATGGGTGGCTCAGTTGGTTAAGCGACTGCCTGAGGCTCAGGTCATGATCCCGGAGTCCTGGGATCAAGACCCACATCAGGATCCCTGCTCAGAGGGTAGCCTGCTTTTCCCTCTCCTCCCTGCTCCTGCCCTCTCTCATTAACTCTGTCTCTCTCCCCAGTAAATAAATAGATAAAATCTTTTTTAAAAAGAAAAAGAAAAAAAGCCAAATAACACACGCATTTTGTTGTCACTTATTCTCTAAATTAAAATCAAAAGAAAACAAGATTTTGTTTCTGAGCAACCAACTTAGAAACCAACTATATTTTAGATTAATTTATGATCTATCAATATGATTCTTGTGAGGGGGTGTAGTAATAGTAAAGGTAATAGTAGTAGTTTGGTTTGGGGAAGCTATTGTAAGGCATTATGAGAGCTATAAGATGAACAAAGTAAATATTCCACTCTGTGTGGCAGGTAGAGGAAATGGGAGGTGGGAAAGGGAACTGAATCTTAACACTCTATACATACCTGTAAGTTTCACCTTGATCTCTCTATAACAAACAGAAGGTAAATACCTCAACCTGCTTCGTCTCATGTTTATAGGTCAACCTACAGTACAAATCCTCTCTTAAAATTTCTTCATCCTATTAATACCCAGATTAGCTGAGTATTTGTTACATGCCCGGCGCTATTTGGAAATCATTTAACATAGATTATCTCAATTACTTTTCACAAAAATTCTACTTTGTTATCCCCAGTTTTGAGACCACTTAAGTTTCCCAAACTTCCAGTTTTTCCAGTAAACTTGTTCAACTAATAACACTGACAAAAGGGATGTTTTCAGCAGAGAAATAAAATGATGAACGATATACTGGTCATTTTATTTCAATTTAATTTTACATAAGAGATTATTTCTGCCAAGTACATAATGTATAATTGAAGTGTCTAAAACCTAAAAGTGTTTAAAAAAAAAAAAACAACATAAATTTCCCTAGCAGGAAAATATTTAACTCAAATTGCTAGGTGGAGAGTGTTACATTTTTTATATAGGTGTTAACTGAATTAAAGAGTTGTTTTTAACTACATCGGAAACTAAGTATGTACTACTATACACTGGCTAATTCAATTTATATTAAAATTTTTTTTAAAAAGCTGTTTTTGATACTTTCTTTCAATACGAAAGTCAATTATCAGACAGTTTATCTGATTTAATCAAAAGCATAGGAGTTGCAATTCTACTAACTTGTTTTGCATTGAAACCATGGTAGCATAGAAAAATGCTACAATCCATCTATTTTCCTAACCTCTAACATAATTAAAGAAACAAATGTTGAAGGAAACTTTTTTATCTCTTCTATTTCCTCATTTCTGCAAACGAGGAAATAGGCCCAGAGAAAGGAAGAACCTTGCCAGATCACCCTAATACCAATGGAAAAGCTAAGAAAAGAATTCATGATTTGCAACTTCCTTGTTATTTCTACCACTCTAGTTCTCCCTAGGGTTTTTACAATTAAAAGAAAAGTGCAATATTCCTTCTCTAACACAAACATACCCCTTTCCATTCCTATGAGAAACTGATATTGTAACCCTGATGCATCTTCTAAAGCTATTAATATAATATATAACAAGTGTCTTTGGTATTGATTTTAGAGCTGAAGACTACTAATAAGGTACATCTACCTTTGAAAAACAATGCTAGAAACCGCAAATAACTTCAGTAGGAAATAGAGAATTGGCCAAATAATAATCAACACCTTTCACTATTCATTGTATTCTTCAAAATTTAGTCTGAGGGCTATCAGTAATAAACTCTCATTTAGCAGCAAAAAGATCTCTTAACCAAGACAAATAATGACAGTAGTAGACTAAGGAGAACCTATGTTCATAATCGAAAAGTTAAAAACTGAAACTAATGGGAAAACATTTTTAAGTTTTATTTAAGAAATCTCTACACCCCATGTGGGGTTCAAACTCACAACCTCAAGATCAAGAGCTGCATGCTCGTCCAACTGAGAAAGCCAGGCACCCCAATGGGAAACTATTTTAAATTCCAACCATTTGTATGATATTTTAAAAACTGAGAAATAATTATATCAAGAAATTATATTATTTAAATCTTGAAAAACAACAGCAAAAAAAAAATAGATAACTTCTTTTCTGGAACAACATGTTTTAAGTTCTAAAGTTAGACCCACATTTATAAAAGAGTTTTGGAAATGAGAAACACCATTAAATTTATTTAGAGGTATGTTATGATTTTAACACATGTATAGGAGGCACCATTGTCTACTAGGAATCAGGAAGTCCTAGGTTTGAATCCAAGTTCTGTACTGATCATGTGTCCTTGGACAAAAGACCTTAGTTTTATTATCTGTAAAGTGGGAATAATGCCACCTTTCTGGCCTGTTATATAGCAATAATAGTTACAGTAATCGCATATATATGTAGTGTATAAATAGCTGTGCTTATACATATATATGTATATACACATATGGCTTGCAAGAATAAATTCCAAATAATAAATTTAATATTTATAAACTTGAAGTATTACAATTAAAATTAGAAATTATGGCATTACAAACATCAGGTCTCTACATAAAACTACCTCTCCACAAAAAATATAAATATATATTTTTAAATCTCGTCTTTTCTCTCTCTTCTCCTGAACTTTTGGTACTACTCATTCCTGGTTCTCCCTCAGTTCCATCTCAGTTACCTTTACACATTCTTCTTCCTTTGTTAAAACCCTAAATGCTAGGATTCTTCATAAGAAAAAGGAACCCTTCCTAGTTCTCCTTTCCTCTCATTCTGCACATACTATTTCACCAAATTCAACTGCCATGTCTACTTGTAAGTTTACAATTCATAAATTTCTCTAGCTCTTCAATGTTCAACAGGCACCACAAAATCAATGTATCTAAAAATAGACTGATTATATAGCCCAATCTGGGCTGCAATGTTTAGTTCCTCTTATAATCCCTATTTGGGGGAATGACATCACTGCCCCTACAAACACTAAAACAGAAACAAACAAAAAAACTTGGAGACTCAAATCCCACATCCTTGCGCTCCATAGCCAACTGATTAGCAATCCTACTGGTTCTACTTCTGTGATCCATCCTCTTCTGCTTCACTCTACAGCTATATCATTTCTCAACTGGATTACTCAACAGAGTGATCATTCAGCTTCATGCCTTTTGTTTCACTCTCTCCTGATCCCTGTAAACAATATGTCTATCACATTATCTCATAACTGGTTGGTAAACCAAAGAAGGAATAGGTTTCGAAAGCCCTTCATGAGATAACCTCTATCTTTTATTTCCTAACCTCCTTTTTCCCTTTGCTTTCCAAGTATTCCCCAGTGTGTCACGTTGTCTCATTCTGTCTCTGCAAGGTGTTCTCTCAGCTTAGAATAGTATATTCCTGTTCTCCAGGCAAACTTGACTCATCTTTCAAGAGCTAGCTCAAGTTCTCCTCTGTAAAGTTTTCTCTAATACTGTAACTGAGACAGAAGTAATCATCCTTTGCTTTATACATTCTCTATACCCTGAGTTAATTCTATCACTCATATAGTCCGGTAATTATTTTCACATGTTTTTCTCTCCTGTTAATGGTGAGCGCTCCCTGAAGAAGACAATTGTGTCCCTTCCTCTTTGTACTTTGTAGCCTAGCACAGTGCTTGGCATATAGAAGGATTTTAAGTATGCTGAATATTGCATGAATAAATCAACAGTCCTATAAAAAAATCATACAATATAAGCATAAAATTCATGAAGGATTTATACTCTTTTTAAATCATGACACACTGGCTCAGTAACCAAGAAGTAGGCCAATTAATCAGCCCTAATTTTATTGCCCCAAAGAGACTGACCTCTCAACTCTTAACTACTAGAGCAGTGCTTGACCTACTTGCTCTCACCATCTTCTTTCCCATTCTGGTTGCTCTGACAACTCACCTGGGACAAAGAACTCTA